TAATAATAAAAGCTTTCGGTTTATTAGATTGGGTTTCTTAAGTGGTTCAATTAAAAGTTTCTAGTTTTTTTCTTTGATGAAAACAATTGTGACGTATTTCAGTTTAGCTGAAATGATAAACAAACTGGCACAATGCCAATGTCGTAGCTCTGCCTGCAGTTATCGTGAGAAAGCGCTAGCGTATGCAATCAAAAAGTGTCGACCAGAATCGCTTAGGCGGCTACAGCGCTAATCAAGAAGAAGAAGAGGTACATATAAATATGTTCTATTTAATCAGTTGCACCAAATATGCGCTTCGGTGGTCCAACAAAAAAAAATTGTATTCAATATTTCTTCGTTCGTAACCCAGTTTTACTTTGAAAATATGATTTAAGCTTAGGAAAGAGCGTTCGCTGGAGGCAAATGTCACAGGAAATGTTGCAAGAATCGCTATACCCATAGGGTATAGAGACTGATTGCAAACTTCAAGAGCATCTAGGAATGGTGTTGGACTATGCTCCGTAGGTACATTAAATGTCTGTAAAGAAATATAATAGGGGCATGCATCGAACCTTAAAATTGCTTTATAAAGCGTATAATCTTATAATTGTGTAAACTTTGTAAACCAACTGTTAAAATTTTATGGAAAGTCGTTAAAACATTTCTTGCAACGATTTTCTGAATAATCTTGATAAACTTAAGCCAATGCAACTCTGTCGCAAGGGTAAATGAAAATAGAGTATGGAGCGTTCATATAACAGAGCTCTTAAATTTATTTGAATATCTGCTTGATTAAGTAATCGGTTTAATATTAATTTAATTATTAGCATGGCAATTAAATTTGAAATGGAGAAAATTACCTTCGACACATTTTAACACATGATAATTGAAATTTCAAATTTCAAAGAGTTCATAATTCTCGTTATCGCTTAGTTTACGGCGACAAAAATTTTACACATCATTAAGCGGAACCTGCAAGAACGTAAATATGTAAATTCAGTCGCAGGGAATTTAAACCTTGATTTTCGGGATGCAGAGGGTTGCGAAATTACCGGCATCTTGAAAACAATGGTGGTCAAAATTTTTCAAAACTTAGAGAAGCGATCATTTTTGGACCTTAATCAAACTACGCCTAATCGCTAGTATGCATACATGCTAGTAAAATTCCAATAATATTTTTTCTATTCCATCATTATATATAGGGAACTGTGATACTGGGTAACTTATAGCCCATTTCCACCAAGAGCTTAACTGCAGGTAAGAGCTCAGGTAAATTCAAAGAACGTTAACATGGGGTGACCAGCAAAGTTTATTTCTTACTTTTTGCTTTCGATTGCTTGTACTTAATATGAGCAATTACCTCCTTCGGTTTGTAACCTCCTTTTTCCAATAGGCATTAACTGCAGTTAAATCTCGGTGGAAATGAACTCCTAGTCTGTAATCAGATGCACTGAGGTCCTCAGAGCCGAAACACGTTAATTTTTTCCCTACTTGACACTCGTCAGGTGAATTTTCGGTTGTTACTGTTACTTGTACAAATTCGGCAGCCGGAGGGGCAGAAGTTTTCAGTCTAAAATAGTTCATTATTTTCACAGAATGCATTCGAAACGTAGCACCTTTTGTTCTGGTGATTTACCCAAAATAGGAGAATTAATTTTATCTCAAAATATGGATCAGTAACCCGCGTTTATGTGAAAACTCTAAATGATACACTCAGGAAATAAATGCTGTAAAGTGAACGATTTTACAGGTTATTTCAACAGATTTTACATTTAAATTACGTCCAACAGACGAATTCGTTGCATTAATAAGTGTTCGGCCAATGACTACGTCCACATCCCTTTAAACGGTAATTTAGAAAATCTTCGGGAAATCAGAAAATACTGAAGCTAATTTATTCAAAATTTATGTGTGCAATTACTCCTTAGCAAAAAAGAATACGATTATAACGAAGTTTTGGAAAACAGGCATGGCACCGCCTACTTATGGCCACATACCGTTCAACCAATTTGTACCAAACTCAGTATAATTATTGTACTTGCCACATAAAAGCAAAACGTTGAAAGATTTGAAATCTGACTAAAATTTTACCCACTTTGCATATAAAGGTAAATTTCAGAAATACGGAAACTTCGATATTTCGAAATCTAATATACTGCCTTTTCGGTGCAAAAAGAATTATCGAAATCGGTTGACGTGGTCCAAAGTTATGCGATAACATACATATAAAACAAAAAATATTCCGACGAACTGTCGGTTAACAATATATTAGATTCTATAACATAAACCATACATACATATAAGTCAAAGTTTAACACTTTGTGCACTATTCAAAAAAATTTAACAAATTTCAAAAAAATTTCATCAAAGTTTTCAACTTTTTTCAGAATTTTTAGACACTTATGGGGTATGCCATTTTGCTTAATATTCAATTTTTGTATGGAATGTTTTTTGTCGAGGATACTTTCTCGAGAAAATTCGCAACATCCTTTATAAAAAAAAATGTCAAAAATCAATGATATTTTTTCAGAAATTTCAAACCTACACATTATAACACTAAAATTTAATAGGCTACACAGAGAAAAGATACAGGTAAAACGTAAGTTTTCAAAAGAAATAGTAAAATAAAATTTTTTGATATACATAATTTTACTTCATACAAAATAAAAAAATACAGTATTTGTACGTACGACTTTAAAACGAAACATTCGCAAAACAAAGACGATCGTTATAACATATTCACTTTTTTTTACAGAGGAGAACAAACGACATTAAAGAAATAGCGTCAAAAATGCGTATTTTAAAAACTAAAATTAAACATTTTAGAATATTGTCCAAACAAGTTGTAGTGCGACACAATTTTCAACAAGTAAAATTAAACTAGACATTTTTAAAATAAAAACTAGGTATGAAAAATATTTAAAACTAAAATGTTTTGCATTAGCATTTAAAAAGTTACCTAGCTATAATGAAAAACTTTCATATGTTTGCATCATTTGTCGGAAAAATTGTGTTAAGATAAATAAGTTACTTCAATCTTCAGATGCATTGCGCGTCAGCCTTCAACTAAAAATAACGGTTTTCCACGTTGCGATCCATTTTTTTTGTCAACAGAATATTTTAGAGAGAAAAATTTTGCATAAGTGTTTTTTTTTCTGTGTGAATAAGTGGTGGAGAAGACTGTTATTTTTGTATTTTTACCAACAATTTTATAAAAAATTACCCTTAAAAATTATTTTTAAATAAATAAAACCCATTTTCTTGAAGAGTTTTTAATAGCAATGAAAATGACGGTTGAATTGTCCAAATCGGTCAATTAGTTCGTCTGTTATTGAATTTTCAAGTAAAAAGGACAAAAAAAAACACTTGTCGATATATAAGAAAATACATTTTTTTTTGTAAATGCAAAGTTACACATTTGTTTGTATTGCCAATGGCTATCAAAAAATACCACTACTGATTAGAAATAAAATATCACATAATTCAAGTGGCCCGTTTCAGAAATTCTGACTCAGGTGCAAAACCTGGGTCAAAACGTTTTTAAAAGTAAAACGTTCCATACAAATTTGAAAACGAAAATTTCTCTGTGGAGAAAACTGCATACCCAATAAGTTTCTAAAAATTCTAAATAAAAAGGTGAAAATTATGATGAAATTGGTTAAGTTTTCCTGACTTTTGCATAAAGTTTTAAACTTTGACTTACATATGGGTATTTCCATACGTCGCATACGTGACAGTCGTACGTTTCAATGTGATACACACAAGGAATACCATTTGTTTTCTTTAACTTTTTTCGGCCATTATATAGCACATAATTAGCTCTATATTTAACCGAAAACTGCTTGGTCCTGAAATATAAGCTTGTGCCGTTACGTGACAAAAAATGGAAGTAGATTTTTTATTTTCTTACAAAATCGCAAAACTCTGCGAATTGTGGATGGCTATTTTCATGAAACTTATTTTAATATGATTTGGAGCAATTCTAGTTGTTTTTAGAGTTTTTTGAATTAATGCAACTTGTTTCAATTTTCTTTTACAACCCCAAGTGTGAAACGTCACGTGACGTAGCGTCACGTGACATAAATTTCCATCGTTATATTTTTGTTAATATTGCTTTTAAATGAATTTTTAACGCAAATAAAACATGTATTTTATGTAGAATATACTTTATATTTTGACTTCAGCGCCAATTCAGAGTGAATTTGTTGGAAAGCTATGACTTATTATGTCTCAACTACATACGCCAAATTCGAACCAAATCGGACCACAAATACGGTTTTTGGAAATATCTGAACTTTGGCGCCACTTACGCAAATATGATTCTACTTACATAGCCAGTATATATTTTAAAAAGCAGACAAATCGGCCCGTAAATACTTTAGATATACGATTTTTATTTTTTTTTTTGTCGTGGTGGACCTTCCGATGGAAATACCCATATATGAGTTATGTTAAAGAATGAACTATATTTATAAAAAAATTTAACAAAAAAATTGGTTAAAAATATAAATTTGCGCTATTTACACGAGCGCCACTGTATTTGGTTGTGTAGTTTATTCGCAAACACTTGCGCTATTCATATCCAGAGATGCAGTCAACTGACAAATTATTTTTATTTTAGTTCTCAGAGTGCGATAAAGCTCAAAAATATTTGGTTTCTTTTCGTTTGGCACTTACTTTTGTGCTTTAGCTTACTCACAATGCGACAATTCTCTCTTCATGTATGCCTTTTGCAACAAATCAAAAATCAATTCGAATTGTAAGTGTTTCTCAATCACTTGGAGTTGTTGTTGTTTTTTAGATTTTGTGTTACTCGTCTTATCAGCGACGCTATTGATAACGCACGAGCAAATTTTTACTTAAGCTTTCGAAAAGCGCTAATATTTAAACAAATGACAGCAATGATAAAGATAAATAAGTATGCGCTGCGTATGTGTGAATGTATTATATTTATTTGTAATAACAGCGCTGCTATCTTTTTGATTTCAATGCTATTTAGTCAGTTAGTTACTATAGTGCAAAACGGTCGCAACCAAATAATTGTATCCACTGAGGTGTGAGTAGGGAGGCAGGTGTACGTGTGCCTCAAACTAGCGTTGTATTATAAATAAGAGCACTAAAACTAAAATATTTGTATAATCAAGAAAGAAGTTGACCTAATTAATTACGCAAAATCCTCCGTGGAAAGCACTTTTACTGTAAAATATCGACACAATGTCTTGTGCGACGTCTACCCTGAAATTTTTAGCCTTTTTAATGAATATACTTTGCTGTGTGAGTAATATTCCATAAATCAAGCTGTATTCCATTTAATCTTTGATGATAATGGATGTACATATGTATGTGTAATTTGTTATTTTATATCTAAATAATATTTATTTATAAAACAATTAATCAATTCTGCTTACCAAAAAAATTTTACACTTTTTAAGTTTCCATGTAAGTGGATACTTGCATTTTTATCTATGTACATATGCTCATACTATTTACAGATAGCAGGCGCGTTTATGCTATCAGCTAGCGCATACTCCTTAGTCCAATTCAATGCCAGCGATTCAATTAAGCTGCCCTGCATACTGGGCGTCGTTTTGGGCGGTTTGCTCTTCATCACCACAATAGTGGGTTGCTGCGGCACAATACGCGAGTCGCCACGCACTATTTTGATCGTAAGTAGATCTTTTATAAATTTTGTAAACAAATATTATATTAAAAATGTATATCTAATTGTTGCAGTATGCCATATTCTTGCTGCTTTTGCTGGGCGCTCAAATTGCTGTTATCTTTTTGCTGCCGATAAACTTCCACAAATTAGCCGAGGAAACAATAAAGAACGCTTGGAATCGCCAGTTGAGTGATGATAGCATGGATAATTATCAAATTAGGGTAAGTGGAAAGAAATTTCTTCTTATTTCACTAGTCAACAAGAAAGCCGACCTGTAACACATGACCATCATTTCATATTTAAAATTCTTTTCTGAATCAGAATATGAAGTCAAAAAAACAAGAAGTAGAACAGTTAATGTTTTTTGGGATGGAAAAAAGTAACCTTACCTAATTGAAATATTAGTGGAGACAGTTGGCCGATATAGAAAATTAGTGAAACCTAATAAATCTGCCATCATATATTTTATCAACATTTTCCAACTTGATTAGTAGTTTCGGAGCTATTCATTGTTTATCGATAATTTTGCATAAACTTTAACAAAATACCCAAAAAATTATTATTTTCCTAACAAAATTCAACATAAAGAAATGTTGTTATCTCCTATCGCTTTCTTTCTTAGACGTCGAAGCTTTTTTTTTATAAAAAGAAAAATACCCTGCTTATCTAAATTGAATAATAGTTGTAGAAGTTATGAGGACTTAAGTAAAAAAGACAGGGTCGATTGACCCGGTTTTTCCAAACCGTTTTTTTCGGATATCTATGGGTGTTTTTATACCCGAGCGCACTTGTGCACAAGGGTATTATAACTTTGTTCACATAACGGTTGTTTGTAACAGGCAAAACGAATCGAGATAGATATAGACAAATGAATACATAAATGATCAGGACGAAAAGAGAAATCGATTAAGCGGTGACTGTCTGTCCGTCCGTCCGTCCGTCCGTCCGTCCGTCCGTCCGTCCGTCTGTCCGTCCGTCTGTGCACACGATAACTCGAGTAAAAATTAAGATATCTTAACGAAACTTGGCACGTTTACTTCTTTCGGGCGTAGGACGGATGGTATTGAAAATGGGCAAAATCGGACAACAACCACGCCTACCTCCCATATAACGGTAATTTTTAGAAATACGAAAACTGCGATATTTTAGTAACTACTGAAGATTATTCACTCAAAATTGATATTTGCAATAACTTTTAGACGAAAAATAAGAATATTATAAATTTTTGAAAAATGGGCGTAGCC